ATATATATATTCATTCATTCATTCATTCATTCATTCATTCATTCATTCATTCATTCATTCCCATCATGCTATTTCTTTTCAGAGGAAGCTACCTTATGCAAAGCACAGAAAAAGAGTAAAAAGTAGTGAGCAAAAGAAATTAAAGACAGGTGATAAAAGAACAGGAAATCTAATTAAACCTAGTTTATTATTTAATACTATTGATTATCTCCCCATACTAACCATCCTTGTTTCCACATGTCTATGCACTCATACATATATTGCCTTATGTTCTTTAAACCTCTCTCCATCCACATTTTAAGAATATTATCAACTCCATCCAGCCACAAATTTCTTAATCTTTCCCCTCCTCTCCTTTATTCTCCTTTCTTACATTTCTTTTGTGATTCAATCCACAAAACAAATGTATTTACTCTTCTTTTCTATTTTGCATTTTGCATTTTGCATTTTTATTCTTATTTTATTTTTAACATGCTTTATTTTCAACTCTGGTATGTGACCATAATAAGCAACGTCTATCTATTTTTGTTTCTTACATTTGTTTTGTGATTCAATCCACATTAATTCAGCATCTGCCGATCCTATCATTCTTTGGTCCACATTGTATTCAGGTGCCATTTCCATTATTCCAAATTGGACATAAACATAAATAAAAATGCTACTGCTGCTACTACTAGTACTACCGCTACTATTACTACCACTACTACCTACATTTATTTAAAAAGATTTGAAGAGCTACCCATCTTTTCATCCTTTATTATGAAAATTTCTCCATCCATTTCCCCATCTTTAGTAAATAGTCTACTAAGATACAAAAATTCATTTATTGCTCTCATTTTCACCCCTTTATGTATAACTTGCAATCTTTCACTCTGTTTCCAAGCACAATTATCTTGGCTTTTGATACATTAAGTTTGATATCCATATTGTATTTTAATTAATATTTATTCTTGTTTTACTATAAACCACCCAGAGTCACTCTTGAATGAGATGGGCGGTGACTAAATTTGAAATATAAATAAATAAATAAACAAATAAATAAATAAATAAATAAATAAATAAATGCCTCATTGTATCATACAATTCATTTAATGTTTGCTGGAAATAATTTGAATTCTACCAGCAAAATGGCATCGTCTGCATTCAAAGAACACATTCACTCATGTCCCCAATGAACACAACTCTAACATTATCACATATTAGAGTCCCAATACATTTATCTATGAATACAATAAAGAGCAAGGAAACATCACACATTGTTGTGTATTACTTCCTGCTTAAATCCATTTGCTAGGCATTCTGTTTTACTCTCAAAAATACTATCCTATTGCATTCAGCAACCAATGTTCAATTCCACATTCAAGCAAAAGGTTCCATAGTTCAAGCTTATTCAATTCATCATATGCTTTTCTAAATCAACAAATGTGCAACAAATATTCATACATCTCTCACTGAACTGCTGAAAAGGGAAAACTGGTGTGTGAGTCTCCTTTTAGGCATAAACCTGTACTGCACTCCCAACTTTTGGTGTTGTCACTACTCATTCAGTCAGAATTCTGTAAAATTCATGCCCAAGAACATTTAATAAAGTAATCCACATGTAGTTTTTCTATTCCCTCTTATTACCTTCCCTTTTATAGAAAGGAACAATAATAGCATCCTTCCAACCAACAGGGATGGATCCAGTCTTTACAAACACAATAAAAAAGTCATAGACCCACTCTATAAGAGAGCCACATTCATTTTTTAACATTTCTCCAATTACACTTCTGATATCTGCAGCCTTACAATTTTTCAACCTTCTCATAACATTTAAACCTTCCTTTCCCTGCATTTTTTCCCCATGGAAACTAATATTTATAGCATTTATTTCAATCTCACTCTTAGCAAATCACAATTTTTCATACAGATTGGTAAAATACTCCTTCCAGCATTCCCTCACTTCATTCCAAATAATTTCATCACTGTTATTCTTGATTCCAGGCACTGTGTCCTCTTCATCTGCTTCCAAAACAGTTTTTTAAAAAATTTTCCATCAAAATTGCTCTACGTTATCTCTGGTTTGTTTAATCTTAATTATGTCTTGCTCTCTCAGTACATTCTTTGCAATTACTTTTTCTCTACATACAGGTAAACCTCATTTAATGACAGTAATTGGGACTGGAATTTTTGTCACTAAGTGACACAGTCGTAAAGCATGACATCACGTGGCTCTGCTGCTTAGCAACAGAAATTTCAGCACTTCCATTGCCATCGTTAAGCAAATTCTGCACCATTTTTAAGTGAGGATGTCATATGGTCACCATTTACAACCTCCTGCCAGCTTCCCCATTGACTTTTCTTGTAGGAAGCCAGCAAAGAAGGTTGCAAATGGCAATCATGTGACTACAGGACACTGCAACATTGTAATTGTGAGCTGACTGCCAAGCTCTTGGATTGCAATCATGTGACTGCGGGGACACTGCAACTGTCATAAGTACAAAGAGCGGTCATAACTACCATTCATTCAGCACTGTTGTAAGTTTGAATAGTTGCTGAATGAGTGGTTGTTAAGCAAGGACCACTTGTATTATGCTATGGCTTTCTCTCTTCTTTTTTTCCATGTTCATTCTCTTATACACATTTTCTTTCATCCACAAACTACATCACTTCATTATTTTACCAATCAGCTTTTTCCTATTTCTTACTAGCACAACTCATAGAATCAAAGAGCCATAGAATTGGAAAGGATCTTCAAGGTCATCTAGTCCAACTCCATGCTTCCTTTCCAGGGAAGGAAAAATCATCACATCATGTGGAGCCTGTTCTACTGGCTGGTAGTTTATACCATCAGGAAATCTTTATGTGCCAATCCTTCTGATATTTGAAAATCTTTCTTTCAGTTGTCTCTTCTGTAGACTGAATGGACCCAGATACTGTAACCATTCCTTGCAGACTTGGCTTCCAGATCCCTCACCTTCATGGTAGGTGAACTTTTAAACTAATCCAATTCATCACTATCTTTTTTGAACTGTGGTGCCCAGAACTGGACACATTATTCTAAATAGGGTCTGACTGAGTCAAAGTAAACACTTAGTGTGATCTGGACCCAATATTTCTGTTAATGCATCCCAAGAATGCATTTGGCTTTTAGCAGCTGTATCATACTGCTAGCTAAGGTTTAACTTGTGGTTGACAAGGATCCCCAGACACTTTTCACATGTACTATTGCCAGCCTAGGTCTCCCCCATTCTATACTTGTGCCTTTAATTTTTCCTTCCCAGGTGAAGAATTTTACATTTCTCCCTGTTAAATTCCATTCTGTTCATTTCAGTCCACAACTCAAGCTTGTCTAGATTTTTACAAAATCTTATCTTCCCTTTAAAATATTACCCAGTGCAGCAGTTTTGTGCCATCTGCAGAGCTGATAAGGATCTCCTCAACTGCCTCATCCAAGTCATTGATGAAAATGTTGAATAGCTTAGAACCCATAACACATTCTATGGCAACCCACTTGATACCTCCCTCCAAGCTGACACGGAACCATTAACAAGGACTCTTGGGTGCGATATCTTAGACAATTATGAGTCCATCAACAGTAGTATCATCTAGCCCATACTTTACCATTGTATTAAGGAGAATATCATGATCAACTTAGCTGAAAGTTTGGCCGAGGTCCAGGTACAATATGTGTATGGTATTCTGATCTACTGAAGCAGTAGAACTCTACTGAAGGAGAAAAGGTTAATCTGGTATGATTAGCTTGCAGCTAAACCTTTACTAGCTCCTGGTAATGGTAGCATACCTATCCAACCACACCCAAATATGCTGACAGGTTTCTATTTTCTCAGGTCCTCTTTTTTCCTCTTTTTATTCTGGGATCTTACCAGTCCTCCAGGAGTTCTCAGACATTGTGAGGGTAAGAGTGGTTCTGTGATCACCGTCACTAATTCTTTCATTTAAATTGGTTAAGTTGTCTCTTACCCTTTCCTCGTCTATCCTACGCTCCAGTTTCCTCCTTCATCCAGTGCATAATGATGATAAGCTAGTGCTCTATTTCCCCTCAGAGAGAAGACCGGCACAAAATAGAGGTTAAGAAGTTCTTTTTTCTTATCATCACCTATTACTAATTCACACTTTCTCCTCACAATGGATCTACACTCTCTTTGGCTGCCCATTTGTCTCTAACCTAGCCAGAGGACCCTCTGTTGTTTTTGATACCTCTGAACTTTGGCCTTTCTGACCAAATTCCTACACATTATGGAGACTACCTTGTATATCTTGTTTATAAGCCCTTCCTTCCATTTCCTATAGAAGTCCATTTTTCTCTTCAGTATTATAGAGAGCTGTGCAGGTATCCATTATCACTATTGTATACCACTTTGAAAGATTGAGCATCTATGCAGAAAGAATCCATCTATATCTTTTGCTTTCCCATGGGGGTTTTTAATAATGGCACTGCTTTTGTTTCTGTCTTCTTTTATTCTCACCAAAACAATTTCAGCAGGATTTCCAAGCTCTGACTCCTTCATTTTTGTGATCGATCAATCTATCTGTCTGTCTGTCTGTCTGTCTGTCTGTCTGTCTG